TCAAAGCCTTCCCGTGCCAGGTTCACACACTGACGTCACAGAATTCTTGTTCTGTGTTCATTCATAAGACTGAAGGATGACGCATGCCTACTGACAATGACAAAAGGTGAGAACAATTATGTGCCCTGGCGAGATGGAATAATTCCAGGGATCTGGAGTCCAAGTTTTCACTGTAACTCTGCCACCCATTGGTAGCTGTGTGACCTAGAACAAGTTCTTTTACCTCCCCAACCACTTTTCACAAACTTAAACATAACTGAGATTGTACCAAGTTACCTCTGTGAGCTACCTTGCAGACTGAACATGAGACGATCCAGAGTATATCGGGCCTTCTAATCGGGGAAGTCACAAGGCCTTCGTGTTGCGGGCTGGGAAGATTTTGGGGGAAATAACCCATGTTGTGTCAATTGCTGGGATAAACAGTTTTGGCAGGAAAAGACTACATGCCGACCGGAAGTCTCTAGTCTCATGGCTAACTAATTTGGTGAGAAATTATCTACAAAAAACTGGGGAGCTCCCAGGAGTGTTTTGTATGGCACAGCCTCTCTTGGTAAAGAAGAAAGACCTGTGCACACCTTGTGTTCTCTGGAACTCTTGCGTGTGCTCTGGCCACTCCCAGCGTGGATTCCCAAGGTCCTCAGTAGAACCCTTAAGTCATAGCTGTAGGCCAGGCCACCCTGCTTAAGCACCCCTCTGGCTGCTTAGAGGGCTTTCAGCCTGATAGGTGCAGGTAGTTTAAATATAACTGAGCCCAGGTCTACCCCACCCCTGCAGCTCTGGGATGAAAGGGCGAGAGCCTCAGTCACCGTGTTCTGGGGTGCACTGAGAAGCTCCCCCTACGTACGGGATGCACCGCAGCACTTTTTAAGAGCTGCAGAGCTCTGAGGATAGTTTGAGGTTACGTTATCAGCTCAACTGCTGCTAAAGAAGATATTAGAATGTTTGGATTCATGTATTTAATTAAAAATAATTACTGAGCACCCACTAAGCATAAGAAATCAGAGTCAGGAAGCTTTTGAGGCAGGGCACAGCATGCTTAGGAAAAAGAGCAGGGTTGTCCCTGCTTTCACTCAGACCCACAAGAAAATTTCACTTAGGAATGTGTCTGTGGGCAGAGGGAGCTGTCTGGGGACTTAGAGCTGTGCTGTGCAAACGTCCTGGGGCTAAGACTTCCAGGAGGAGAAGGAAGGATTTTCGGGAAGATCCAGGGTAGATAAGAGGAGGCAGGGCAGAGAGCAGGAAAGAGAGGCAAGGTCACTTGCCCAGAGATAACTCCAAGGACAAAAACAGTTTGCAGCAGCGATGCAGGAGAAGTTGGGAGAAGCCAGGTGGAAAAGTCCTTATGGGCAATGCACACACACACACACACACACACACACACACACACACACAAACTTACCAAAAGGAAAAAGCTCCTACACTGAAAGGCTGGGAACAGGGGAACAGTATTACTTTCCAATCGAACTAATGAAGCACTGATTAACAATCAAAGAGGAAATCCGCCGTCCCTTTCAGCTTGGTTAGTGTCCAAGGCAGAGTGGAGGGTTGCGTGAATTCCATGTTCTTAGGCATTTTCCTGCCTAGGTCTTGTCACCAAAACGTGGACCATGTTTCTCACCCCATTGAAGACTCATATAAGCTAGCGGTTGCCGTGGAATGATGCTCGAGCCCAGGTCCAGGCCAGGGGCCCAGTTCAAGCGGCCTGACTCCAAATCCTGAGAGAGCTCAGTCCTCCATGGCCTCTCAGAGCTTGCTTTCGGATGCTTAAGAAATTCCTGCCATGCAAGGCAAGTGAATATTAAACAAGACGATGCATTTTGAATTTTATGAGATTTAAAAAAGTATCTTCTTCATATTTCTTACAATCTTTAACACCCATAAATTTCTGGTTAGTTTCTTGGCATTGTTCTTTTTGAGTTCAACCACTAGAGGTCAGAATTTCACACAAATTGCTAAAAGAAACCACCAAACTGGAAAATAAATAAATAAATGAATAAAAAGAAGAACTTTTTTTTTTTTACCCCAGCTGAGCAGTCTAAATAAATTGAGGCATAGAAAGAAAAATAGTGCTTCTTTAAATAAACTAATTTGATAATTGGGACGATGTCCCCCAACTTGTTGCTCAATAGGGAAAAGAAGGAAAGGCAAACAGAATTTGTTAAATATCTATTGAGGACAACTTTCCAACCTAAATGTATATTGATCGTTTTACATTATTTCAAGCGCAGGTCTCTGCTGGAGGCCCGTTCTGAAGGTAAAGAAGCTGAATGATAGCAATAACAGCCTGCTGACGATCAAACAGCGGAATCGAACGCCTTCCTTCCCCTAAGTCAAGCTCAAAGCACAGCACGATCAAACCCATGCTGCATTTTGGACGAGAGAGTCTATAACGGAATAATATTATTATTTTCACCTGCAACTCTAAATCAGTTATTTAGTTTCCACTCTCCTCAATGAATTTGGAGTGCATTCTTTTTACTATTTCTCAGACCGCCTAGAAGTTTCTGAGCTCAGGGCCGCAGGACTAAGGAACACAGTAACAAGATGATTATGGGGGCCCGGGGCGGGGAACGAAGACTTTGACTGAAGGGAAAAATACATTGAACAAAAGCTATAGCTCAGTACTTTAAAATGTTTTCTTAGTCATCAACATTTTTTTTTTTCATTTTGTAGAGCTAAATATACACACCTACCCCGTTTAGGGCAAGAAAGGGGCTGTCCCAGGACCCAGGAAGGAATGGGGTCCAGCACATAGTAGCTTAGATTGCAGAGAAGGTTGCATGCCTGGGCTTTTGCTGGGTTTGTCACACCTCATGCAGTGCCCAGAGCGGAGGAAAGGCAGCAGCAACACGCCCAGCGGTGCCCTCTGCACACACGAGGGCACCCACAGAGGCAGAAGCGAGCCCAAGGGGTGGTGACCCCGGGAGCTTCCCATCTGATCCCAAGCTGGACACCCATCCTAAGATTGGTTCTTCACCTTGGTTTTAAACGTCCGTCATCTGGCTGATGGGCGGGACTTCCGGAATCGTGGACCTCTGCATTAAGAAGGGAATTTAGGGCACATTTTATGCGAAGCGCTCAAGTTTCAATGATGAAGAGGAAGTCACTCCTAAGCCCTTAACAGACTTAATTCTGGAGCCCAGGGTTCTAGAGCAACTCTTTCTCTTCCTGGATGCCCCGAGATTTTCCTTCTGCCAAACAGCAGCCTGTAATCATGGGAAGGAAGGGTTCTGGGGTGGAGGAGGAAATGAGGCTGGGAAGACCCGTGGTGGAGCCTGGTGACGCAGGCTCCAGGAGGCTGAGGCAGGAGGGCTGCAGTCCAAGCCCACCGGGGCCAGCTTAGTGATTTCAATGCCTAGTGTCATAGAACTAAACCGAAGAAGGCTCCCGGTGGACATACGCTGATACACAGTGAATACTGAACATAGATTGAAAGCCTAAAATAAAATAAGGTGGTGTCATCGCTTTTAAGGAATATTCTTTGTCTTTTTCTGGGAAGTGTTTAGGATTTTGACTTACACTTAAGTGGGATCCTTTGCCTAAGCACATGTAAACATTTTCTCTTCTTGTTCTGTACTCTGCCTCTTCCCTGGAATCGGCCTGGAAGAATCATGTCTAAGACCCAACTAAATAACAACCTTCTCAGAAAATGTGCCCTGATCTGTATTCTTCTTGATGAATTCCTTACCTCTCAGTTCCTCATAGCACGAATATTATCTAGTTACCTGGTGCCCAAAACATTGCCTGACACATGACAGGTGCCCAGCTCATGGGCTGCAGTGTTGGATTGGAAGGCAGTATATTGTAGACATTATTTTAACAACACTGTAGTAGTTCAAACACTTTCAGTTTGAAAGTCGCGGTTTCTTACAATGATCCCATTTGCACAACCAAGGCAAACCTTCATTTTTGGCACTGTTCGCAACACCACAGGCCTAACACAGCTTCCTACACTCCGTGGGAGTTCCAGTTTTAAATAATTTTTCTAACAAAAACTTTCTTTTCGGAACATTTGCCCTCACATTATTCATCGGTTCACCCCAGAAATGATTTGGAAACCCCAAGGTCTCATTCTTCCTCTCTGCATTTATTTTATAATATCAAAGGTTAAAACTTGGATTGCAGTCTTAGGAGGGAATTAATTCACTGATTAAGGAACATGCACTTTAAGCAATAAACATTTAAATAACTGACAAGTACTGGGCCATGTATTTTTTATTTTATTTGGGAGGACTTTTTTTTCCTACTTAAGATTTTAAGCAGCTGCAATTCTTCAGCCCTACAGCCTGGAGAAACGGCGTGAATTATTAATAAGCGATCTCCAGTCTGTGGTGCGGTGACCACTTTCAGAGCAAAGGGGTAAGAGCTGAAATCAAAAAACAGTTGTTGTTGTTTTTTTTATCAACCAGTTGCTTGGAGCATATTTGGACCTTGGACCTTGACTGCACTTGGAAAACCTTGCAATATTCTTTAGCTAAAGGCACTTGGCCTCAAAGACTCTACTTTCAAATCCAGAAATGTTCATTTATATCCCACCTCCAACCCTTAACAACAGAAATTCCCAGCTTCTAGTGGCACCTGGGAGCCCATTAATTATGAAGAGTTTACTTCAGATTTAAATTTTTACTTTTCTGGCCCTTGGCTTTACCAGAATCTGTGTGAGAAAGGACAGAAGAAAAATAACTCAGGAGCAGGAGCAGATGGTCTGAAGGACAGGCTTCCTGCGGACTGACACCTTGGGTGCGCATCTTTGAGCTCTCATGGGAGGTGGAATGTCCCCCCACCCTGGGACTTTACTCAGATCCTGGCTCCCATGGTTGTACCTCCTTTCATCCTGGTCTTCCCTCATTTCCAGAGCAGGACTGAAGCAGGAAATAGACAATTGATTTTCCCAAATCAAAGAAAAGTAGGAGGAAGCCAAGGAGAGGAGAGGACAGAAACACAGAGAGGTCCGGCTGGGCCTGGGTGATGCACACAGAAATGTGGTTTTCTTTCCTCACCTTTGGGTCCAGGTGAAATGGCGTGCGTGGCACAGACTTCCACGGTCGGGCGACTGTCAATATCCAGCCCCAGACTCTGAATCTGCAGGAGGAATAGCAGCAGGAGGATGAACTGGTTGCTTCGCAGCAGGACTCTACTGCTGTTCATTTTTGCAGCTCCTCCAAATAGGGTCTCCCAGATACGCCAGATCCAGAGATATATTTTACACCATGTGTACTGCTCAGGGAAGAAAGGGAAAGACCTGAGCCTGTGTTCCAGAAAGCTGTCCAGGGAGCATTCTCCAGTTGTTTATTTTCTCAGTATCTCGAGTGGAGTATACATTGTCCAGACTGTTTATTTTCAAGTGACAACAGTTTATTGAAAACTATTTCTGAACTAAACACTGGAGTGTGGGGGTCAGGAGAGGCATCCCTTGGAGCAGAATGGAGAGAGAGATGCTTTTGCTCAGTACTTGAGCATCTGTGATGTTTCCACTGCTGGGTTCCAGGAATGTGAGAGAGATAACCACGCACGTCACCCAAGCACTCTGCGTGGCTTTGGGCTTTTTGTAAAGTGACACCCATTGCACGATGTGGTCACAGGCAACCCCCCCTCCCCCGTGCCTGGTCCTTCGCTTGCTCCCACGATTATCTTGGATTAAACCCACAAAGAAGGAATAAGAAGCAGGTTGTTTTGTTGGCAAAGCTATTCGGAATGTGTTAAAATATTAAAAATCTTTATCACCTTTGACCTAGAAATTGCCTTTCTGGCACAGTATCTCAAGGAAATATTCTGACAAAACTTTAGAAAGTACAATAGAAAGTGGAATTTAACAACACACTTGTTTTTGGCAAATTATTATAAATAGAAATCTATGAAGGAGCATGACATGCTTATTTTATAAAATAGTGTTTTTAGCAAGTTTTTGATAAAAATGCTGAAAAATGTTGTAGTGGTGCATTTATTAAAAAGCAGAGATAGGTGTAGAGTACATGGATGTGACACAGACATAGATGTTGACATTGAGATCTATGTGTTTATCTATATATCTATCATGTAGGGATAGATTACACAGACCTGATATTGACTGAGATATTGACAAGGAAATCTACCTACCTATCATCTAAGTACAGATTATATAGGTCTGACATTGACATAGATACTGACAATGAGACATCTATCTATCTATCTGTCTAGACATCCATCTACCTATCACCTAGATATAGATTATATAGATCTGACATAGATATTGAAATAGAGATCTGTTTATTTATCATCTAGGTATCAATTATACAGATCTGACATAGATATTGACATTGAGATCTATCTATCTATCTATCTATCTATCTATCTGCCTATTTAACCTATCTCTTCCTTTACTAGACAACCTGTTTGAATGACATAAGCTTTCTGAAATACTGGAATTTGAGTCTTCTTAACATCATTTTTTAGAATTAAAAATGATGTCCTTTCCTTAAATTTGCATAGTGCTTGGGTGACATTAGAATTAAAATTACTTATATTAGAAAACTTCTTACCTTTTTTTATTCTTGAAAACACATGCTGACTAAGAGTTGGATGGAAGGAATTTTTGATGTCCTTTCCTTGAATTTGGAAAAGAAGGACCTTATAGTCCCTGATTAAGGGTTAGCACCTAAGAGATGCCATTCATGGCAAGCAATATTCAAGCCAGTAGTTTTTGGTGTGTTACTTTTCCTGGCTCCTGTCAGAAAGGATCACATTGTGAGTAGCTTAATCAACAGAGATTTGTCCTAAGGTATTGGGGTTCAGGATTTCAACATACAAATTTTGGGACAGGAGAGGCACCAGTCAGTGAACAAGACAGACTTACAGTATGACTGAACTGGTGTCTTCACCAGCAGTACAAGGAGAGGGAAGAAAGAGCTGGCACTGAGTGAAGAGCCATTGTGCACAGGCGGAGTGCTGGTCTCAACTTAGGTTTTCCTTGTGTAAGCCTCAAAACAGCCCTGTGGAGCAAAGAGTAGCTCTCTGTTTTGCAGCCAGTGGGGCTGAGACTTAGACAAAGGGAAGCAGTCTGTGTAGTTATCCACTGAAGAAAGAGCAGCAATAGAGAACATGGTGGATGGATAGCAGCAACTACAGAGGCTTTCTGAAAGACCCAGCTTAGAATTCAGGAATGGTGCAGAGTAAGGAATCATAAGGAAGAGGAGATATGCCCTGCTGACCCAAGAATGAACTGGGCTGAGAGAAACCAACTGGGAATGCAATCCTGGTGCTATAACAGGAACAGAAAAGCCTCAGTGTGGAAGCTGGAGCCCGCACCATTGGAAGCCACGATTTGGGTTTCCCGCCGCTGCTGCTGCGTCTACATCGGCTCGGCAGGGAGAGAGACGCACGGAAGCTCTGAGAACGAGAATCGGTGAATGGAGTTGAAAGCAGGATGGGCAGGGAGCTGTGCATTGACCTGCAGTGAGTGAGAGAAACTGGGACTCTTCCACGGTCTAGGAGGCTCCAACAGAGGACATTCTGGGACTGGGCAGACTTGCGGGAACAGGGCACTGCAGTGACTTCAGTCACGTATCCCCCTCTCAAGCAGGATTGGTTTGAATGACCTAAGCTTTCTAAAATACTGGAATTTGAGGCTTCTTAACATCATTTTTTAGAATTAAAAATTCTAAAACAAGCCTCGCCTTGTGACGCTGCTGGCTGAGACCCAGTAGGCTAGCACAACCCAGGTCCCAGCGCCTGAAGGAAGATTGACCTGGATAGGTGGGCCCCGCATAGGCTGCCTGGTCTGCAACTTCCTGGTGCGCTGTGGTGGGCGGGAACACCCAGCTGGTGCAATTCAATCAGACTGTGGCCAACAGGGAAGGAAGCTGGGCCTCCTATATACGCTTGCATATATAAGGAACAAAGAATATAGGAAGAGGTATCAACAAGAAAGGGTCCTCGGCCCCTGTCGATGTCCGCTCCCGGCCGGCAGGAAGAACACACGACAAAGTCTGGCAGTGGACAACCTTTTCTTTTATTTTCCTTCTCCGTACAGCCTGCCCTGGGATCGCTCCCAGCCGAAGCCTCCTTTGGTCCGCTCCCCGCGGCTCCTTCCGGGCTTCGCTCCGAAGCCTCTACCGGTCCGCTCTCCGCGGCTCCTTCTGGGCTTCTACTTCCGGGCTTCTCCTTCCCCCCCAGGGGTGGTACCAGTATATATACGGATACAGTGTCCAATCATGTTAAAGTAAGCAAGGCAAGCTGATTGGCTAACATCATCAGTTGCCAGGCAGACTATATTGTTGAGCGGGTTGCTTACGCGGTAAGCAGGAAACTAACGTGCTCGATGGGAGGGGTAATCTACCTCAGGCTTTGCTCTTTACTACAGGCCTCACGTCCGCCAAGTGAGGCGACCGGGCTCGGGGCTGCGGCTCCCAACATCTCCCCCTTTTTTATTTTTTATGAATGTGCGCATCGTAGCCCTTTCTGGACTGGGTGCAGAGGCTTATGCCCTATGCGTAGGCCCACCGTAGGTCCTTGGCTTAGACCCTGGTCGGCCGTCCCATGGTCTGCCAAGGCCCTGAGGCCCTCGTCCTTTTTCTAGGGCCAGGCACAAACTGGACGGAACCTGGATGCACACAAGCTTGCACTCATTTCCTCTCCGTAAAGAAATCCCCTCGGAGAGAAATTTAGACCTGGGCAGCATCTAACAGTCCAGCGGCTTACGTGCAGGATGGGGTAGGGCCTGGCTTAGGTTGAGTCGCACCGGGGGAGTACGCTCTTACCCGTCATTGACTCTCCTACCCAGCTATGTCATAATTTTTTAGAGGAGGAGTGTGGGAAGCTCACCGCCCCTAGACTCGGTCGTAGGCTAGGCGAGCGAGCCATGCATATGCCTGAGGATCTTTTTGTCCATTTTGGGCTACCGCTATTTCTATTCATCTTGTTGGTTGGTCTGTGATGGATCTCCGGTAGGGCAGGTCTGATCTTCAGTCGAGGGCTTTGTTGCCCGTGTCAGTCTCTCCGGTACCCACAGTGGTTCTCGTCCCGGTTCCTGTGGGAAAACACAAACCGCGCCTCGGTTCCAGCTGACCACTGGATCCGGGCCCATCCATTGTCCTGTCAGGACATCTTTCCACTTCACCCACCCTTTATGGTTGGGGGAAGGGTTGCAGTGCTCCACGGCTGGGGAGCAATTATCATTATTTAAATTTAAAAAATTGTGTGTGAATAGTGCCATGGATAATCGTGCCTTTGGGGCCAGGCCTTGGCCTACTCCCCCTTTTTGTTTTTGTAAAATTTCTTTGAGGCTTCTATGAGCCCTCTCAATGATTCCTTGACCTTGGGGATTGTATGGGATACCATGTTTTAATTGAACCTCCATCATTTTGCAGAACTCATTGAAGGCTTTGCCTATATATTTTTGGTTTGCCCCATGCGGCCCAAGCCGCCAGGCAATGATTGATCACATTAGACACTTTTTCACCTGTTTCTGCTGTTGCAAATATGACGTGAGAACAGGTGTCTGTGGAAACATGAACATATTTAAGAGTCCCAAACTCCTGTATATGTGTGATGTCCATCTGCCAAACATCACCAGGGATCAAACCTCGAGGGTTTACTCCCATCGGTATGGCAGGTTTGTATGTGGCACAGGAGTTACATAGTCGCACGATATCTCGTGCATCTGCTCTGGAAACATGGAAATGGTTTGCTAGTGTCCTGGCATTGACATGAAACTTATCATGGAAGGCACGGGCTCGCTCGATTGGTGTTAGTAAGGTAAAAATCCATAACGGGTGAGTGGCAGTGTCAGCAGCCGCATTCCCCTGTGCCATAGGCCCTGGCAGGGATGTATGTGCTCTTATGTGGGTGGTGAAGACCTTATGGTGTCTGTTCTGAAGCAATGTCTGGATAGACAGGAACAGCCCAGCCACTGTGGAAGTGGATCTAATTAAACCGGCAGTCTCAAGCACTTGCATAGCATTGACCACATACCTAGAATCGGAGACAATATTAATGGCTTCTGAGAACCGTTCAAGAATCATTTTAACGATCTGCAGTTCCACCACCTGAGGCTGATCAGGTTCAAATTGTATGGTAACCGGGGGCTTGCCTAGGATCACATAGGCGCCTATCCCCGTCTTGGAGCCATCTGTGTATATTGTAGTTGCTGGGACTAATGGCTCAGAGGCAGTAACCTTTGGAAAAATTATAGGGTGCTGAGTGACAAATGACAAGATAGGGTCTTTAGGGTATTGATTGTTTATATCCCCATGGAAAACACATCTCAGAATGGCCCATGTATCTATGCAGGCAGCCAGGGTCTTGATCTGGCTGGCGGTA